AATTTCAGCTTATATACCTTAGAACCAACTTACTCACTGGGATCACCTGAAAGTCTGGAGTAGACTGACATGCATTTCTGACACCAAACTTTAATAACAACAACTGCTATCTCTAGTCCCCCACCCTAGCTTCACTATATTAATCTACTATAGTAAGATACATGTAGTTTTATATTGCAATGGATATATTTTCCTAATGGATAACCTACTCCTCAAGGATGCGGTAGATACTTGGTTCTGCCTCCTGAGCCATAATTTTGCTTCTGGCCTGGTTTTTCCAAGTCACTATTTTGTAACTGGTTCTTGTGGAGGATCTCAGATTTCTAGAAATTAAACAAATCAGCTCCTGCAAATCTTATGTTAGTCTGTATCTAGCAGAGGAAAGCCTGACCCCCTTTGCATCTAGCAAATAAAAGATTAACTCAGAAAACAGATTTGATAGACAAATGAATTAAGAACAAAAATACCCATCCTAGTCTTTTTGGAGCTGTAATAACATAGTATTATTAACAATCTCAATATGACGACTTATTCCTGGATTTGGAAAACAGGAAAACCTGGTGCATTTCATCACCCCAAGTTTTCTTCCCTTCTCTAAAGCACTACATATACACTTAATACCCAATCTGTGTCTAGATGATGCTCTGCACCAAATGTGAAAAGACTTCAGCTTTCATAATCCTGAGCCAGCAAAACCAATGACTGGATATTATGTTGACTAGACATTTTAGGAACTGAAATCCACCACCTCTGAGGGCAAGCCAGAACAAGTTCCAGTGCATATTGAGGACATATGTCTGAGGCTATGCTTAACCCTTGATTCCAAAGGAATCTCAAATGCCTACTGCTGTACTGGAACAAGGCCAGTTTTCAGTGGCCTTCAACCAGGGAAAAAGAGCTGACCATGTTAAACAACTGCATGCCTGCAAAATACAGTGGCAAAAATGTGAATTCATTTAGCCTGACTTTAAATAGGCACCTCCAGCCCAGGAAAAGCCAAGCTATCACTTTTCATCTTGATCCAGCACCGGAACCAACCTTCAGTCTTACAGCAGAACATTCAGGATTGCAGATAGTATCCATGTATCAAAGTTGGTAAAAGCAGACATTCTATCAACATGTTAAAATATTGAATCAGTTTAAAATGTCATTTGCATAATTTCCCTTCCAATTTCTCATTAAAGTTTTCTTGTTTTTCTAGGTTGTTTCCTTCCCTGCAACCATACTAATGGAAGGAGATGAAAGCACAGAAGTTTATTTCATAACTTTCCTCCACCAACAGCTGTTGCTGCTGTCACTGCTGAGCAAGCAATGCTCCAGGCAGTTATTGACTTTACTGAAATCCTGGGGGGAGGGGGAGATTTCCTGGATAAAATTGGAAAACACCTTAAACGTCCTTAAAATTGTTTTCAGTCAAAGCATTATTTTTGCAGAGTAAGAATGATATCTAATCAGTCTTCGCAGTGGCATTTAACATCTTTTAAGTACAGAAACCTCCCCAAATCTTTTATATGTTTTATCACAGCTGACTTTTTCTTTCTTTTTTCTTTGTTTTTTTGTAAAAGTAGAGACAGAGATACTGTAAGTCCCCAGAAGGCTGAAAAATATACAGTAGTTCAAACTTTGGAACCTTTCAGCAGCTCCCAATAATACAGCTTCTCACAGCCTCCTTTTCTGGAATTTTGAAAATATTTTATACTTAGGGGAATGGCAATTGGACCTTAACACTATTAAAATGCTCATTTTATTGTTATTTTTAAAAGAATGGGGCACAGTGACAAGTAATATAAACTGATGTGCAAAGAGAGTCCATCCCAAATGACCAAGGTCTCACATTTCCTAGTAGCACACTCAAAGTGTTGCTGTACCCAGGTTCAAACTGGAACAAAAATGATTCTCAGTGGACTCTGAATGAAAAGAAATTATGTAGGAAATAACTTGACCAAGAAATGTGCACTGAAAAAAAAAAGCTACTTCATTTTTATTACTGATTAAAACAGTTACATGCTGCTGTCCATAAAGTAACTTGAAATGGTTTAGCATTACATAAATAAACCAAGTTAAACAATCAAAGACATGGATAGGTATGAAAAAAGAAAGAGAAATCAATCCCTATGTGACAGGGTTGGGTAGAAAGATCAGTCTTTGGTACCTAAACAATGCAACAATACGACCAATGGATGCTAGGGATGAGAGCATTCCACAGAGCAGGCATCATCACCAGGAAGATTGGACTAAGTAACTGTAAGATGACAATCTACACTTTGTCCAAGGAGATCATATTGCAGCTTTCACAATCTCAGTGATTAGGCAGGTTTATAAGAAGAAAGACAACCTCATAGGTCAAAGTCATTCAGGGCTTTATGCACAAATAAGAAAACCTGCCTATGGCCCAAAAGCAAACTAATAAACCAGGATTGTTGCTGGGGGTAATATTGCACAGCCAGGTGCCCAATTTAACAACCTGACCTCTGTGTTCTGTGTTAATTGCAGCTTTACAATAATCCAACTATGCAGTTAACCAGTGCTTTGACAGCAGTGGCCACATTATTCCTGTCTAGGAAAAGGCGAATTTGCTAATAAGCCATTCTTGACCCTGATGTTTGCCTCCATTGGTTTCATATAGATGTTAAGAATTATTTGGGATATGATTATGCCTTGTTTAACCCCCATGATTCTAAGGCACTGTCATTCAATGTTATTTTCTAATACTGTTTCTGCAAGTTGAAGTGTTACCAAAACTATCTCATGGAGCTGATTCAGAAGGATACCATGGTTAATAGTAAAAAAAGAAAAAGCTGCAGGATCAACAGAATCACATTATCATCTCTTTCTCATAGAAGGTCATCCATCAGGGTGTCCAAGGCTGATTCAATTTTAAAACTAGGCCTGAATCAAGACTGAAATTCCACATATTGTTTTTTTCTTCACCAAAATGTCTGCAGATGCACAGTATTGTCCCTCTCCAACCCCTTGCCCCCAAAGCGGCTATTCTGATGAAAATAATAAGCCTTTACATGCATGTTTTTCCACCAGAAGAGGCACGACTGCCTCTTTTAGGGCTAGCAGCACAAACATGTAATCAATCGCTTTACAGATATACCTAGCTCTAACAGCCAAGAGAGGAAGGGGACAAGAGGTGCAGACTGAGCAGCTACAAGCATCTTGTCCATATCCTCAGGCCTCCAAAACTGAAAGCACTGAGACATAATTGGACCAAATGATGTACTAGATACTGTGCCAAAAGTAGAATGTGAGATGACGTGAAAATAATTTTATCTTCAAAATGTCTTGCAAATTGGTCATAGCAGACTTTTGGGATTATCTAGGGCAATAACAAGGCCTTAATTATCCTAAAAAGCTCTGCTGGATGACTATTTGAGGATGCAATGGAGATTGCAAAGTAAACTTTTTTTGTAGCCTCATCAGTAGATATTGGTGTATCACCCATCTTGCTGCTCAGCAGCATCCCCGGTCATTCTGGCCAATATGGTCCCTAATATGGTACTACAGATTCCTAAGACTACGTTGAGGCTGTCTAAATAATGAGGTTTGGGAGTGCTTTGGTTCCATGACAGCAGGAGAGGAAAACATTTCAATTCCTTGTGGATAACAGCACATACAAGTGAAAATAACCCAACCATCAAAGCCATGACATGTATGCTCAAGGAAAACACCCAGCTCTGTCTCAGCTTTCACCACAACAGAACAAATGGCATGGAACATCCAGTTTTCACCTAGAAGTATCCAATTCACGCAGCCTGCATTCACCCCCTTACGCCAAAGGACTTGGGACTCACATTATTATAAGCCTTCAAACTCCCACAAAGGGACTACCCTCTTTAATGTTGCTCTCCAGCCCCCATGTTCTGAATATGCCTGTGCTAGAGAAACAAACTAAAACTGGTTGGTAAGCAAACACCCAAGTAGAACCTCCTAGATGTTAATAAAGCTACAACAATTATGTCTCCTGAGTCTCTTCAAAGCCAAGCAAAAGAAGAAAAGGTGAGAAAAGGCTTTGTAAGAAGAGCTGGTAAGTTCTAATGAGGCAGAATGCCTTTCACTTGCCTTCCAATCTCCCTTACCTCTTAGTAAGTTCTCACTTTATTTAGTTGGCTCTAGTGATTAAGAGTTACAATTCATGTTTCATATTAGGGCAATGCCTACTTTGAAAATGACTCAGAAGAAGTGCTATGGACAAATGCAGTATCTCTCTGCTATTCTTTATAAAACATATTTTTTCAGATTTCCATGCAAACCTGAAAAGAAGATGCCCCTGCTTTAAAAGTTGCATTAAAGATGCACTGTTTTAATGATCTGATTTATTAAAGCAGCAGCATTTTTCCAGGTTTGCACAGAAGCTTGAAGGAAGACACAAGTGCTTTAATGAACATCAGAGAAGGGCTGCACTCAAGCAAAGTCTAAAGCTGTTCTTCCATATGATTTTTGTAGCATGCATAGTACTATTTTATCAACCATTCCGGCTCTCATCAACAATGCCTTTCAGGACAAAGTAGAAGAAAATTTCAAACATTTTTCCTCATATGGCCTTTGTTCCAAAATGTTAAATGTTCCCAAGGAAATCATCCATGATAGACATGGCAAGCTCCAAAGGTTTAATAACTCAACAACAGTAATGAATTCCTAACCAAACACACAAAATACATAGGTAGACTTTTTTCCATTGTTTTACTCATGCATTTTAGATCCAGAATCCATTGAGAAGCATATTTTGCACTAAACTACCCTGCAAATCACTTAGAAGTCTTGCAACATAGCTATACTACTGGATTCCTCTTTCCAAATAACCTCAATTGTCACACTGCCTGGTTTCTTTGCCTTTAATTACCAGTAGACTTAGTTAATAATTATATGAAAATCTCTCAGTGAAACATAGATGCTAAACATAGAAATCAACAGAATATCTCTGATGCAAGCCATACCATACCATAAACATGCATCTCACTCAGGAAAGAGAAAATGGCATCAACCTCACTCACCTAACCACTGGCTCTGGGATTGTTTCTGTATTTGCTGGCACCTGAACACCTTTCTCCCACTCTTGCCTCCAGGGATCAGCAAGGATATAGTATTCATCCGGGCTCAGCTGGAAAGAATCTGGGATCTTCATTGCTGTTATCAAGTCGGTACGAAAAACCTGAAAATGAAGAGAGATGAAAAGAACAGTAAGAAGCATGTGAAACCACTGGCAATGACACCTTTGAAAGCAGAAACTTTGCCAAGCTTCAAATAAGTGAGGGAGATGTTTAGACGTGCTGAAGTGAATATGGCCAATAAGATGGCTCCTTACATACATGCTAAGCTGGCATGTCTGAATTCTGCCAATCAGAATTAAAATAAAAAAAACTTGGAATCAAATAGGCACTATCAGTTCTGAAGATCTGGAGGGGAACAGCTTCATATCTTAGAAGGGCTTACTTATAACTCTGGACTGTACTGTATAAGGCTGACAGTGATTTGATATTAACAATAGTGAAAAAAAGTTACTCAAACTTATTTCTGGGTAAGTGAAGCACTGAACAAGGAAGCTAAGCTCCACTAGAGGTAGCACTAATATGGGGACCATTTAACATTGGAGAAAAAGGGCAAATACTTTTTTCTTCAGATAATGAATGTATTCCATTTAGCACACCCACACAACATTTAAATGAAATTAGCAAGTATTATGGTTTTCCACTGTGCTACCCTTCCCTTGGACATGTTGTTTTCTTGTATTTCCCATGTGCACAGTCTCTGAACTCTCATGCATGTTTCATTTTACTATTATTGCAGACAAATCAGCAAAACATAACTTCCTGCTCTTAATTTTTAGAAACTATTCTTTTCAGAGTACAAGATTATTGTTAAGGAAAATACCACTATACTGTTGAAGAGAAAGACTCCAAACATGTTACTGACTAATGATCTTGGTATGGAAATATTAGCAAGTAGTCTCCAATTTGTATCTCATGATTAGGGCTGCAAGCTACCTCAACAGAGGGAGAGAAGAGTAGAAACTCTTATTTTCAAAGCATTGCCCACTCAACAAAGCTACTGCCCCAATAACCTTTCCTCCATGATTAGAAACCAGTATATGCCTGGATTTGCACTCCTTTCTCCCAGGGGTTATTCTGGAACAGCAACTTATAATGCTTGCTTGTAATCTCTGGACTGAATAATGTATATATACATACAGGACAAGCTAGGAATTGTTTATTTCCTTCATTCTAGAGGTTCTTAACTGCCCTGTAGGGGCAGAAAAAGACTTGCCTGAGGCAGTCTGGCATAAAATCTAAACCTTGCTAATTGACTGCAAGGTGATTTTTAGCTGAGAAGTTTGTATTCCATCTATCCACGTGGCAGAGACAGAGAACAAAACAAATCTCTCCGTCTAAGCAGTTCAAATTCACCTATCAGGCTTTTTCAGAATCGCTGTAGGCTTGGACAAACTGGTGGACAATATTCATGTAAATTTATTCACGCATACCATCTGAATGCCATACATTCATATACACTTGTCTAGTATATTGTTAATAAATGTTGAAGAAACTCTCTGAAACGGATACAGAGTTCCCATCTCTTCATAAGTATTGTTTTTTAAAATTAGTACTTTGAAGTGCTTCAGAGCCACTGATCTTAGAGAGGTAAGTTTTTTCTTTCTTTGACTCCTCTAAATCTTCGTACATGATTTCCTTGGAGCAACAGAGAAAATGTGTACATCCACAAGCAAAAGCTCTTGCCTGTATGAGTAGTGATAAATAAATTAATATAAATTGTGGGACACAAGAACATACTAGATCCTATCTGTACATGTGGGTGGATTTATGTACCACAATGTCCCATTTCCCTTTTTTTCAAGTTCAAAGCCTCACAGGAATTTGATGAGTGTACACAATATGGTAGTTAGTATACTCATGGTACCACACTTCCTCATGAACAGGGAATTTGCACATTGGGATGAACCTACGTTTGTGTTTGCGCAATGCACTAAGCCACAAACTAGCCAACTACATTTCAGCCTAGTACGTTGTGTGAATCTAGTTTATATGGTTGGTCTGTAATTCAGGTTATTAACCCAGAAAAGCGGGTTAAGTGCATAAACCACAGTTCAGTTCAATTCAGGTAAGTCTTTCATAGGAACATGGGCAGTGAATCAGTGGAGTATCTGCCAAACAGAATGAAACAGTCTTTGTACTGTCTTCAGACATTAGGCAAATAAAAATAGTCATAAATGGATAATCAAAAGGGACAAGCTGCGGCTACCGAGCATAATAGATATGTTCTTACTTATCCAGAAGTTTAAACATATGGAATCATATTCTGATAAAAATACTCCCACATGTAAAAGCATGCGAATAGTGTATATTTATTAAAGTGATACGACAGTACCTTGAGCTACATGTGATGGATTATTTGGTAAGTTCTTTAACAATAACTTATCTAAACAACAAGTCTCAACCTCTCAAACAGCAAAGTAAATAAAAGATTTTGATCAGGAAATAGCCTGAGAACAATAATTTTCTTACAGCAATCCTGCCACTCACAGAAGGGTAATTAAGGAACTGGTTCCTTACAAGTAACTGCTGTTCTCTGAAAAGCCACTTGTGGATTTACACACATGGGTTATTATGTGCCTTTGCAGAATCTGGTTTGACTCTTCCCACTCTATGTCCTGCCAAACCTTCAGTTCCTAAGACTGACCCAGTGGATCCAAAGGAATAGAACTCAGCAGGAACAAAAAACCAATTTTCCAGTTCCATGTTTCAGCAGAAACAAAACCTGACACTGTTTTGCACACCGCAAACAGTGGGATTCAGAACAAACCTCTTGGGCAGCAGAACTCTGGACAACTTGAAACCTGTATCTCTTCACTGTCATCTAGAGGTCATCCAGATTTTTGCAGCCCAGATTTTTGCAGCCCAGTAATCTTAGCTTGAGCCTTCCTTGGCCTCAGAACAACCATTTGCCCTGCGGGTATAGATATTCTGGTGGAAAAAGAGGTGAGGAGAATAGGCTGTCTCTGTGTGCTAGATCTCCACACAACTTTTTCAATTAATTACCTCCTCCATGGCAGGAGAACATTGTGGCACAAAATATTACATGAATTCTAATCAATTAGTTTATTTTTAAATAAACCCTTTCTTCTAAATCTATGTTGCCTACACTTAAACTCAACCTTGGAGACAATCGGGAAAAGGTTCACCTGCAGATTTATCTTCTTTTCCCTTGCTGACTGCCAAAAACAAACAGAACTGCCATTTTGGCAGGCAGGCAGGCAGGCAGGCAGGCAGGCAGGCAGG